TTGGTTTGTGATATCAATTGAGTTTGTTTTGCAAAGATCTGTGGGAAAAGGTAGAGAGATCTAAATCCCGTTTCTCCTCATTTGCCTGTTTCTATGCTGATGAAAACTCCAGAGAGTTCTGTTTCTTTCTCCCCTGCATCTGCTAGAAGTGGGGATGATGGTGGTGCTCAAGGACCATTCCCTTCTCCGGACAGTGATCTGCGCTGGGTGTACGAGTGTGCTTGTGCTGTGGCCTCCTTCTGCTCAGAGCTGGGGTGTGCCAAGTAACTACCCTTGACACTCCTGGGACCCGAGTGCACTTAGTGCTTCTCAGGATCACATCTTCTATTATTAAGAGATTATCATTATGTGACCTTTAAAAATTTATGCGGGATCACATTTCACAAAAGAAACACTTGTATACTTTCAGATGAGTCATTTCTACTGTGCCCTGTCAAACCACACTTAAAGCAACAATTCCATTTAGCAGAACTTCTTCACTAATGTGTCCAAGGGCAATGTTTGGTCATTACATTTTAGAGGATTATTGAAAAATTGTAATGTGGGTTGTTCTCAGGATACAGAAATAAAGGGAGAAGTAGATCTTTTAACCCTTTTCAAGAGCAAGCCAATTAAAATTTGTCTGAAATTTGTTGATTGTTTTTGTATCCAAACGGCACATACACGTAAGGCATCCTGCTTATCATCACAAAAGATGGTATTAGATGAAAAGCAAGCAAAAAATAGTGTAGCACTGACTACACTTCAGAAAGTTGTGTGCCTCTGCAATGGCATATGATTTCTGCCTTCCGTAAGAAATTTGGGTGATATACCAATATTTTACTTCTTTGAGATATTTTTTTTAGTTGTGTCCCATTAGACACTTCCAGGTCAGTGAAGGGGGTAATTCCTTGTATGTCTCTGGATGATCACTTGAGCAGGCAACAGGTATGTTCAAATGGTTCCTGGTCTTATCAGGAATCCTACAGGAAGAAAAAAAATAATGTGTTTGGTCTTATTCTCAGTCAAAACCCAATGCACGCCCCAGTAGTGTGCAGTTGACAGCAAAGAAATGATGCTTTCTGAGTGTGTGGGGCTTTTTATTTTATTTTGCCTGTTTCCATTAAAAGAGTGAAATTTACCCATATAAAATAAGATCTAGTAAGAAAAAAAGTTCTCCAGTTAATACACAACTTCTGAATTTACTTATAAATTGTACTGAGTGCAAACAACTTCAAAATGACACGGACCTAATGATGTTTTGTGTGATGGACATACCAGAAACCCATACTTAAAGGTTTCCGGCCTGAGCCTTGGTCTGATAATGCTGACTGAATTAAATATTAAATAGCAGCCAAGGGAAAATAGACCCCTTCTCAAAAACAATGCATTTATCTTTTTTGTGATATCTTTTAATTCCTTTGCTTTTTCTCCCTTTTTACATTTGAGAATAATTCACAGTGTGTTTATCTACTCCTTGGCCTGCTGATAGTAACTTAACTCATTACTCTGATTCACTTTAGCTTAGAGAGATGCCATTTTCCACCTAATACACTATTTTTTTGCTGCTCAAATCCCACAACTGCAAGTGAGAGTTGTACAGTTTGAAAGCTCCCTTCACTATGGCTTCTGTTTTACCTGCTTAAATAAACCTCTCCTGAGTCATTGAGGCTGCCTTTCGTTGTTGCCACAGGATCTTTTCTTCTTTGAAAGATGATCTGATTTTTTAGATCTTGTTCTCAATAATGTTTAGTGCAAGGATGTTAGGTTTTAGCTTCCCTCTAATGCTATTTACTTCCCAAAGGCAGAATTAAAGCTTCATTTGAAAGATGTATGTTCTTCCAGTTCCGAGGGTTGAATAATTCTTGCTTTTTGGTGTTCCCTAATACAGCAAATGCTTATCGTTCTATCATCTTTCTTCCCAAATGATTTTGCCAAAGCTCCACACATGTAGAACTAGGTGGAAAAGACTAAAATTTCGGCTCTCTTCTTCCTTTCTTCAAATTCCTGTTCTGATAAAGATTGCAGAGATTTATGTATTTCTTACCTCTGCTTGTTTGTGTTTCTTCCTCCTTAAACATTGCTGCTGACTACTTGTGAAGTGTGTTTGTTTCTGCTATAAAATGGTAATATTTGAGTTTTGAGCCTCGGGAGTTACAAGGTTCGGTTTAGACTCCTGTTTCTCAGCCCGTTCCTTCATTATGAATCATAGGAAAGCTTCAGGATTGGGAGAGATTTATTCTAAGATTAGGTTCAAGTTTTGATAAAATTCCATTAGAAAACCAGCTCTCATAAAATTCTGAATTGGAGTGATTTGAAGTATCAGAGAAACTATGTATGTTTCTAGACTTCTCTCAGATCAAGCTGGATCAGCTCAGTAAAAGCTCAAAAGATTTCAGTGCTACTAACTTAAGATTTTGAAGTTTAATTCTTATTCACACTAACCCCATCCACAGTCCTTTACTTTGGTCTGGAGAGAAGCTGTTGTTGGTCCATCTCTATTTTCTGCTAAATTGTGAACATGCAGTCTTTTGGGTCTGTGGTTATGGTCTTGCATTTTCTGTCCTTGAGAAACACAAGTGCCGTGTCAAAGCATGGTGTTCTTCTATATGGTGTGACTTTTACTGAAGGTTATGTGGAAAAGGCACATGGAAGAGACTGAGGTTACTTGACAACTATTTCTTTTGAAAACACAACTATGGAAGGAAGAATACAAGTGAAAGGAAAGAGGTCGTCTGACAGGATCTGTCTCGCCACACACCGATGGCAGAATTCTGACTTTTCTGTGTCATACTTTCCCAGTTCTTGTACAATGGTGCCAAGTTGCAGCTAAGTAATGTCTTGTCAGAGGGACCATGCTGTGCCATCAGGGTACATTTTGATGATGACATGACTCATCAGTTCTTCAAGGCATTAGTGCCTTCATCTCAGTAAAAATTAGAACATTTATTGCTTCCCAGAAGAAAAAAAAAGACAAAAAATACTCCAGAAGCCTCTTTAGTGTCTGTGTTCACTAACCCTCACTAAGCTCCATATCCATCCTTTTGTACCAGACTTTCTGCTGCTTTCAGCACCTCCACCACCTTCCAGGTTTCATGATCTTCTAAGGCCAGATGGATCTGGGTTCTGTGATCTGTATTTGAGCACTTGTCTCCCTTTCTGAAGGGAACACTGACTGTACATAGAAATTTAACATGTCAGGGTATCTCTCAGTGTTAACTTTTGCTTAGAGAAATTCCATGTACAGTACAAATTACTTGTGGGCTGATGTGAGCTGCTGCAGTGCCCGTACAGCTCCTTCACTTCCATGGTTTTAGTGAGGGAGCGAACAGTTCACTTTTAACCATTACTTTTGATTTCAAAGTGGTTGATCTTTCTGTTCTTGTGTCATTTCTGGTTTTCAACCCAACAGAAGATTTTTCTCTGTATCCCTAAAAGTTGAAAAAAAACCAAACACAAAAACCAAAAAAAACCAACCAAACAAACAAAAACCAAAGAGAGAAAACAAACTGGATTTTATTTTCTTTCCATTAGGCTTATGTTGTTATTGATACTAAGATGTTCTCTCTTACACATGTTGTTTACAGTAGAGTATACGTCGTAACATGTACTGGCATGAACTACAGTTTGTAGGGAGACCCTACTCAGGAATGCTGTGCCTAAACTTGCAAAAATTAGAGGAGTTACCCAAAACCCATAAAATAAAATTCATCTGTTGAGCTGTCCTTTTTACAAATATAACTTGCCCCAGGTAAGCTCTAGTTTAAGTTACCATTTTCTAACTGTTTTGCTTTGGAGTGAATCCCTGTCACTACTTGTATTCTGGTAGCAGTAATGACGACCATCTTGATTAGCCTTTAGTGGGATGTTGCACAGTTTTTAATTTTAAATGGTAATACTACTAATCCATCAGTCCCGGTATTTCAAAAGGTATAATAAAGGAGATTCAAGTGACTTCTGACATAGTGATCACTGTTAGCTGAATCTGGTAAATACAGAATAAGATACAGCATCAGATGCGGCAGTAAATGTTGGGTCAGCTGAGGGAATGCCGTTTTGACTGGAATCTCGCATCCTCAGTCATGTAGCGGTGCAGCAGAAAGCAGAGGCTGACCTGCGCTCCCCTCCCAGCTGGATCGGCTCCCGGGGGGGGGGGGCCGGCGGCTAAACACCGTGCAGTCTGTGGCCCCAGGGGGAAGGTGCCAGGCCTGCTCTGGGAAGGAAGCAGGAGATTCTCCCCTCATTTGTCTCTTGGAGAAGAGTCTGTTAGTGCTGTATATAGTAATAGTTTTTATTCAGAGAGCTTTTTAAAGTTAGGAAATATGAAGTTGTTCTTTCACCTGCTTGCATGTAATTTACTAATTATAATTTTCATAGGTTTACTTACAGTGGTTTTAGGAGTTTTTCTTGGCCCTTGATGGTAGTAATTCCTTCCAGAAACCAACAGGGAGTGCGGGTGAGAACTTCCTCATGCAGCTTAGCTACCGCTTGATGAGAATTTTCTCACTGGTAGCAGACCCCTGTGTTGGACCAGTTATAACCACTGAACAGAGAGAGAATGGGTGACTGTCTGACTGATTTTTGCCTTTTTTTAACCTTTTCAAATTGATTGTTTTCATTTTAAATGGAAATTGTAGGCTAGTTGTCCTTACAGGACAAATCTAACAGCACTATCTTCAATGGGGAAAAAAATTAATATGGAAGAAGAAAGCAAGCTGAACATTAATTTAAAAAGAAACCATTTTTAGGCAGAAATTGCACAGACATTTCCCCTTTGAAGAGCATATTTAAGACAGTTTTCCCGTATGCAAAGATGTTTAAAGACAGAAATAGTCCATGTACTAAAACAGAATTATACTTCAGAGTTTCTAGATACAGAAAAATACTGATTATACAGTTTCTTGATGCAAAATATATAAATTGTGTTACTGATATTTTTAAGAATTATAGACTAGTTTGTTTAACTGTATGCTTTTCGTTGTTGACATTGTACATTAAGTCTGTCTGTGTGTCTGCAATAGGCTGGAACAAATGGTTATATGGCTCCGGAAATCCTGAAGGAAGAAGAATACGGCTATCCTGTGGACTGGTTTGCTATGGGATGTAGTATTTATGAGATGATAGCTGGGAGAACACCGTTTAAGGATTACAAAGAAAAGGTTGGTAAAGATGAGGTTAAAAGAAGAACTCTGGAAGATGAGGTGATATTTCAGCATGCCAACTTTACAGAGGAAGCAAAAGATATTTGCCGACTGTTTTTGTCCAAGAAAATCGAGAATCGTTTAGGAAGCAGGTATGCCTTACTTCTCAAACTCCATAAAAGCCAAATTAGAGCTGCAAACAATGTTATTATTTTACATATTACACAGAATGAGGTCGAATCTTGACTTTCTACAGAGTACTGAATCTTCCCTTTCACCTCTAGGAAGAGAGAGGTGGAAGGTTTTGAAGATAGTAAGAAATTGTTGCAATAGTGTGATTGTCCATCCTCACTGCAGATTACTCACAGGAGTTCCATTCTTAGTATTTTGTGGGATTAGACTACATAGTTCTGGGAGAAGGGAGCAGCCTGTTTACCTCCTAAAGGTAAAAAATATTCAAGTAGATACCTGCATCTGTGCTACTGCAGACTGAATGCAAAATCTTAGGCTGTATCACTTACTGGAATGATGTGGGCAAATATCCAGATCTGCAGTGTGGATCCTCTTCCCTGCAGATATCGAACTTGCAAGGCTGTGTCATTGGCTTCTTACTGAAGAGGCTTTGTTTTACTCAAGTGCTTTAAAAAAACTCTTGTAGACGTTCCGGTCTTCCTAACTCATCCCAGGCAGAAAAGGGAGGAAAAGAACACTGGGCACAAATACATTTTTTGGGACTTGGCTTTGGGTCAATGAAGACTGATGGATATGTCTCCGACTTAGCAATTTCAAGTAACTGTTCAATGAGAAGAAAACTGGAAAGCTAAGCATTGTAATATCTCTGATTCCTCTGGTGTATGTGTGTATATTGCATATATAAAAAATTCAGTGCCTTTCTAATGAGACAGACGGGGGATCTACATTTGCAATATAGACAGAATAAAAGCAATATAATAAAAATGTAAAAAAATAATAGAAAACTGATAGTACTGTGTTTACAATGCACCATTATTTGAATCACCTATGAATACAAATATATGTATCAGGTGCTTTTTCAATCTAAAGGTGAAATAGATGCATGGACTTAATGAAAATGTTCAGATAGTCTTCTAAATTTATATGTCATAACAATGTGGAATAGTTCTGCAAAATGTCACACGTTTGTCTGAAAGAATTAGCTTTAATGAAAGATAATATGCCATTAATATACGTATTCTTGTTATTCCAGTGCTAAATGAAGACAATACTCTTTGTGCCTCATGGGTTTTCCCAACAGCTCTGCAGTGCTGAAAAAAAAAAAAAAAAAAAAAAAATCAGCAGCACATAGAGTATGTTTGATACAAAGTCTGTATTATTTTTAATACATTTTAAAAGCTTATTTGAAAAATAAATTTAATACAAAAAACATGTAGACCATTCCACCTTACCGATCAGCATGCTTTGCAGACATTACAGCATTTTGCAAAGTAAACAGGTTTCAGAGTAGGGGAAAATGAATTTGAAATTTAGACGTTGAGTGCCTTGGTCAAGTTCACAGAATTACAGAGCCGTAGAATTCAGCAGTTCTGAAGCAGAACCAGCAGCAGACTGCTCCCTGTAACCACGTTCCCTTTGCCAGGAGAGTCCTTTACAGTCATTCTGCCTGCGTGCTGTTACATTGTTTCTCAGCGATGGGAGAAATGTACACGGAAAGGTAACCACAGAGATTATTTTTAGTTTTCTGCTATTTAAGGTATTCTTACTCTTATGTGCCATACTTAGAGAGGGAAAACGGTAGGTTGAATACCACGCCTGGGCACGATTCACAAAAGCCTGCATGTACCTCTTAAACAGGGTGATACTATTCAGGACAGCTCATCCTTATGTGAAGATTAGTGCTGTAATTCTACTAAGGACAACAAGACCTTGGGTTATCTATGTAAGTGCCTGTTGCATAAGTTAAAGCTGCTCAAGGACAGCTTTACTTTGTACACCTGACCTTTTAAAATACTCAGCTCTCTTATGGAAGACTCAATGTCACTGGCTAACTCGGGAAAGATACAATCCTTGTTCTCTACTCAAGCCTTTTGGGGTTGACATCTCAAATCCCAACTCTGTAAAGTTAATTTTTTTTAATGAAGGAATACAGAATTGACAGAGTTTAGATGAATTCATTTGCTCTAAGTTTCATAAATGAGCAACTCACACAGGAAGAGCCAATATTCATCTCCAGCTAGTTGGAGGATGCCTCAGTTAGTTCCAGTAGATGGCATATCTGTAGCTTTATGTTTGTAAACTTTTTATGGTTTTGGTGGTGTCATAAAATACATCAGGAGGGGAAACACTGCAGCAATCCATTCTAGAGCCTTCACCAGCTTCTGGTGCTTTTTGGTTTATGTTACAGAAAAGAAAAGCAAAATAAACTGAAATTTTTGTGAGTGCATATGCCCAGCAGCTCCCAGGAGAGTAATTCATTTGAACAGCAACTCTAATGCACTTCAAGTTAACAGTGAATGTAAGTAAATTGCATCAGGCTGGAGGACTGCTCAGGTACTTGCTTATCACCAGCTAGTTAGGTTAGGAGATGACTTTGCAAGACTATGTCTATGCAGAGGTCACGGTCCCTGTTGGCTTAATCTCTACATCCATAATTGTGTTCATATGGCTCTTGGGTTGAAAACATCTTTTTTTGTTTCATTGCCCAGGGTGCCTGATGGCAGCATCCTCCAGGCTGTGATTTAGCATCATGGTCGTGGTGGTGTGCAGTGGTTAGTGGCTGGTGGTGACCTGCTCAGAAGAACTGGAGAGGAGAGGCACAAAATGATTGTTTTCTACCAAGGGAGCTGAAAGGGCAGCTGGGAGTTGCATCTCAGCTGTGCCTGGATAGCACCAGGGCAGGCTGGAAGCATGGCAAGGACAGCATAGGAAGAACTGGCAGTAGTGGCAAGCTGGAGGAGCTGTTCTGCATACATGGTATAAGGTCTTCAAAAAGGAAGATTGTTCTATAGTCACACAAATCTGCTACTTCTATATGGTGTTTCTACACATTTGCAAAGATAAAAACACTTGCCAAAAGATTTGCATTGTGTTCTATTTGTAGAACATTGTCTAGAAATATATGAAGGCTTACACTATGCTAAGTATGTGATTTTGTAAGGGAGTGGGAGAAGAAAAAAGCAACATGTTAACAACCACCATTTTCTAAGGCCAAAAACCAGCCAAATTTGTTTTTCCTGCATTACCATTTTCAAAACCAGTGCTTCCATAAATACATTTTAACAAAGAATGAATGGGTGTAGGAAATGGAGTGGTCCTTTCTGCTCTTCCTTTCACTAGAATTCAGAACTCAGACTTTGTGTGCCTTGATGTCAGAGGCATAGTTCAAAAGCTGTGGTCCTTGGTCACGATTTAATGAGTGCACATAAACAAAAGTTCTTCCTAAGGTCTGCAGTTGTTTTTTGTAACATGTACTTAAAATGTGTATTTACAATTATTTTAGTCCTTTCTGGATTTTGGGGGGTTTTAACAATATTAATAAAGGATTGTGTTTGTGACAGTGACACACATACTTTTGCTAATGTCATAATTTCTGAATCTCTTGCTTAAAATCTTTGTTTGTTTATAAGAGTAGTTCATTTGAATGAAGAGACTTCACTGAAACTGGGATTGCTTATTAGAGTGACATAACTGTTTTATGATGTAAATGCATGGCTACTTTGAATTAAAATAAAACCAGAAATCTCATTTGTCACCAGTTTCCTATTCAGGCTGTTGTTCCTCAGAGTCAGTCCCTAGATGTGTTAACCCAGTGTACCTCGTCTGAAGTTTAATAGATATACTAATTAATAGAGAGCCAACCACTGGACTTGCATTGGGGGACAGTAGATGTAATACTCCCTCTCCCCATCCTGCTGTTGTCTTCAGTTCTGGTTACAGGGTGTCTTTGGATGTGGATGTCTCAGTGCGCTGCCAGAAGCAGCTCTTGCATGGCGCCTTGCCTGGTCTAATGTACCTGGAGAGGTAGAGCACTGAATAATGGGATCAGGATGTTTTCTGCTTCTCAGCTTTGCTTATATTGCGCAATGCAGCATTCTTTAGTTATGAAAAAAGGAGTTGCGTTCCCTAACTCTAAAATACTCTCATGTATACAACACGAAGACACACCTGAGAGCAAAACATCATACTGATTAACAAACTTCTGCTTTATTGCAGGAATCAAGATGATGACCCAAGAAAACATAGTTTCTTCAAAACGATAAATTTCCACAGGCTAGAGGCAAACCTTATTGACCCTCCATTTGTGCCAGATCCATCAGTTGTCTATGCCAAAGATGTTGCAGACATTGCTGACTTCTCTGAAATACGAGGAATTGAGTTTGATGACAAAGATAAGAAGTTCTTCAAAAGGTTTGCAACGGGTGCTGTCCCTATAGCCTGGCAGGAAGAAATTATTGAAACGGGACTGTTTGAAGAACTGAATGATCCCAACAGAGTAGAATCTGGCGGATACGCAAATGGAGGTGAAGCTAAGTCAGGAGTTTGTTTGTTGTTGTAAATATCACATCATTAACAAAAAGAGTAGAAACCATCTCAGAACTTTCCATATTCTGACACTGTTTCAGCAACTCAGTGCATCTTTAACATCAGTGTAATATGACATTGACAGGCTATGTAGGACCAACAAGTTCTGCTCTAAGAAAGAAGATGTTTTCGTTTTATTGGAGGTTTATCAAGATGAAGAACCACCTTTCTCTAAGAAACTTAGAATGATAGAAATTCTGAAATACAGAAAACAGTAATAGAGTGAAGAGGCAACACCTTTTGAAAATTACTGATTACCATTTTGAATATAATCACTTACTGGTTTTCTTTGTTTTCTTGTTATTTCTACTGACATTTCCTCTTTGTTCTACAGTTTTCAGGAAGTTTTTTTAATTTCCATGTAATATTCTCAGTTAGGCAATGGAACTCATGTACCATGTCAAACTTGGAATCTTATTGGTTAGCCAGTCTGTCTGTTGTTTTCTTAATTTCTGTTAGTTTTTGAATGGTTTCCGTGTAACATGTTCAAATTGTCATAAAATGTAAAAGAAGGCTCTACATATCACTAGGAAGTAGGACCGGCAGGAGCAAACTCTTTTCAGCATTAACAGAGTGAAGATAAGATTGCACCAAATTAATTGAATAAAGCATTTATTTATTTATTTACTTATTATTAAGTGTATTATTTTAAATGATAATACTATAGACAAAGAAAATGTATTTATTAGTTCTTTTTGACAATATTAAACTTTTATCAGGTTTACTGATCATTTTTCTGTATTTCAGTGATAAATTAAGCTACAGATAGGCCAAAGCAACTTGTAACTGGCTTTTTACAAGACATTTATTTCAGTGCAATATAGATTTTAGTTCAGTAGTTGAAAAATAGATTATACTATCAAGTGCTGTAATGCTGGTAAGGTTATGTGTACAAGTTGACACCATCTTCAAATGTTCATTGAGTCTCATGCAAATTTTGAATGTGTCTTATTTTCAATTTCATGACAACCTAAATTGAATTAATTGGAAACATTTCTGCAAATACTTGTTACTGCTGAAGCATTATGAGATGCATCGTACTGGTTTTCTCTGGTAAGAAAACAGGTTGTAGTTTGCAACAACTTTTAAAACTGATTCTGCATGCTGTTCACTGTCTTCTGTCTAACGATAGTTTTGATTGACTGAAGTGGAAGTTGAAACTGCTCCATTTCTTGGTGTCCTGGAGGCTGCTAATACGTGTTTCCTGTTTTCATGGAGCAAACCTCATACTGAACTTAGACTTCTTTTTTGATAGACGCTGGGACTGAACTCACACATCTGTTTTGAAGTGGAAAACCAATAGACACAATGTGTTCTATAGTCGGGTCCATCATGTGGAACGCAGCTTTAGTGTTTGTTTATGATCTAATAGCTCATCCCAAACATTGCAGTAATCAAACTCCTTAGTTTTAAATACTTTAAGTGATTTAGTCACAGCTAAGTAATACATTGATAAAGCATTGTGTTGTTCTAAGTAAAAAACCAATTGTTCCTTTTAAGTTTGCTTTTCCAGTGCTTTATATACTTAATTTTCAAGTGAAAATCATGAAGAACAACGTCACTTAGGATTAGTGGCTAATTCTGTTTATTAATTATGAGCATATAATCGTCTGTCTTTTGAGGAGAGACTTTCTGTCAAATAATTTAAAACAAGCTGAATTCCAACTTGGGATTTTAATTGAGAAGGATGATCCTGAAAGATTATGAAAAGCAGAGGAGGTTGAGAGGAAAGAGTCATGTGGGTGTCACAGATTTAGGAGAGTGCTTCCACTGCTGACGTCCAGTGAATTTTTTCTTATTGTTTCCATCTGTAGAAAGCTCTCACAGAGTGGTATTAGGCTAATATAATTAAGAAACCCAGACAGAAAGCTTTATTTTATATAAATTAAAAGACAAAAAACACACACAACAAAAGCCAACACCACCACAAAAAATCCCCCCACCTTATTACAGCTATGAGAGACATATTAGTGCTGGTGGCATCAAACTTTTGCCCTGAATTGGTACACCCCAAATCCACAGAATTCACAAATCCTCCAGAGCCATAAAGCAGTACTCTGAAATGGCTGTAGGTTTTCTCCTGTATAACTAATTTTTCAGTATATACATGTTCCCATATGGAAAGAGGTTATGTATAGATAGAACCAGAATGTAATGTCATGTGAGAATCATACATCCCCTACGATACCGAGTGTTGGAAGTCTGGGTTTTTCAAAATGCATTGCAATACTGAGATCTGTGAATTCAGGACATCCTATGCACATAACATTGGGTTATTTAGAGATACTTTAGTGTCAATAAATCCCAGCAGTGTGTATATCAGTGAGATATTGCAGCGTTAAGTGTTCCATGAAACATTCAAAGCAGCACATCAGTGGTCTGATAATGCACAATTTGGCGCAGTGTGTGACGGAGAAAAATGTGTTAGCTTGAAGTTATTAATTTTAATTTTCTAAAATTCTCTATTTCAGAATGTGGACAACTTGTGTTTGCACAATGAAGAGACAGAGCGAAGCAAAGATTATTTCTGTTAGCATTTTCATTGCTGCTTTTAAAAATTAATTTCAACTTCTTTTAAGTAACCTGTGAAATGCTTGATTCTTTTCTCCTTCCTGCCACTGTAAAGTTCCTTGTTAAACTTTCAGGAACAAAGTTATTTTAACATCCTGCTTCACTTTAACAAAACAAAGCCAGCGATCCTAAGAGATTTCTGCATTTGATGAATTGTCTTATTGCAGCCAATGATGCTACTCATGTGAGTAAACTTAAATGTATATGCAAGTGTGCAAGATCAGGGCCCAAGACAAAAGTATTGACTGAGTAATTGGATGTTTGTGATGGAAAATGAGAGATGAAGTTGTGGGAGGAAAGTAACCTTGTGGTTGTGGGGTACTTCAGTTCTTGTGGCAAAGGTTCCAGTATAAATTGGGGAACGACCTA